TCCCATCACACCATCACGCAAAATCCTTAGCGAGCATGCCATTTCATTCAGAATAAAAGCCAAGCTCTCAGTATGGCCTGCAAGTCCTACACGAAGTTGCCTCACACCACCTCTCCAACATTATCTGTTACCAATCTACCCGGAACAGCTCTGTGGAGCTGCCAGCACAGCCCGCATGCTCCTCCAGCTTGGGCACCTGATCTTCCCTCAGCCTGAACACTCTTCCCTCAGACGGCTGCATGACTGGCCTTGCTCACTTTCTTCAAGTCTCTGTTCAAACTTTGCCTTCATAGGTACCATTTCCTGGCCATAACAACCGTATTTAAAATAGCATTTCTCTCCACTGCTACTCCTTGCATGCCATGCTTTCCTTCACTGTATTCACACTACCTAATATTACAGAGAGATAACTATGTATATGCTCTCACTAAACATCAGCTCCGCATGGGCAGGGACTTTGTTGTGTTCAAGACCATAACAGTGGGGCCTAGAACAAGGCCTGGTAGGTAGAAGGTGCTCAACAAACATTAGTTAAATAAATGAGTGAGTTAAGTGCTGCTATTTCTTGGGCATATGCTTAACCCTTTCTATGTAGTAACTCATTTAATTTTCATAGTACTTCATCAAGGAGATTCTGCAATTATGCCAAAGAGTTAAAGGCCATGTCAACCAAGCTTTTAAGTGGGGGAGCCTATTGGGGACTGCCCTGCCTGGTTTCAGGAGTTGTAAACCGTCTCCCATGTCTAAGGCTGAGTGAGCGACCTCTGGAATGCAAGCCACTGAGGAGACAAGGCTTGTCTCTGGCAGCAGATGCTGCCCCTGCTCCATCTCCCTGCCCCTAAGGTATGGTTGGATGGTCAGAGACAGGTGAGACCCCTCAGAGGAGGGGCAGCATAGCCCAAACACAATCACTTGGGAGGCCATCACGGAAGGACTCAGGGGGACTACGACAAGGAGGGAGTGATGGACCCTCACCCCCCCCCCCCCCCCCCCCCGGCGGTGACGAAGCCCAAGTCCCCATGTCCTCTGGGAGAAGCACTTCCTGGCTCTAATCCACTTAAGCCTAAAAACCTATGATTCCCAGCCTTGTGCTGGGAATGGCAGGCTCCCTGGGTAATTAGGCCTGAGAAGGAATATGTGAAACCCTGTGACACCTGCTTTGTTTAAGAATGCTTTTAGTTAGATTACAAGGGACCAAGCAGAAAAAGAGTTTATGTTCCCAAAGTTCTGTAGCCTTTTAGCTGACAGGCCCTGATTTAGAAGAAGTCCTAATGATTCTTTGTATACTATCTACTGTTTACTGCCTGAGAGTGATTAATAAGTTGTACTTGAACTCCTGTGCAAAAAAACCAATAGGAGGCTGTCTAAGCAAGGGTCGGGGCGCTCTCTCTCCCCTTGAGAGAGTTGCCAAGGCCTCTCCAAGCCACTCACCCCTTGAGAGGGTGGTGAGGCTGTTCTGGGGCCCTTGAGGGAGTAGCCTTGCCAGCCCTTTTCCTCCACAAGACGTGGTAGTCCATGTGAATTTGTCTCATGTCTCATCCATGACACCGCGGGCACTGCTTGTCAGTACACACGTCAGGAGCCAGGACCTAGGACCTGAATTCAGATAGTCTGTCTGCAAAGCCCACTGTACCATCTGCTCAGGCTGTCTTAGCAACATACCACAGACAAGATGGCTTAAACAACAAATACATTTTCCAACTCACAGTTCTGGAACCTGAAAGTCCAACATTAAGGTGCTGCCTGAGTTGATTTCTGGTGCAGCCTCTCTCCTGGGCTTACAGATGGCTGCCTTCTTGCTATATCCTCACATTGTTTTTCTCTGTGTGTGCCCTCCTGGCATCTCTTCCTCTTCCTATTGGACTAGGGGCCTCATTAAAACATTAATTACCTTCTTAAAGAGACCATTCCCAGAGATAGTCACATTGGGGATTAGAGCTCCAACATATAAAATCTGGAGAGACACAATTCAATCCATAACACCCATACTTTATGCCCTTGAAATATAGTTATTCTCAACATCTTTCCTTTTTATTTTGGAGAATCAAGATTATTTTTAGCTAGATCTTTTTAGCTGAACAGAGAATAACTTTCGTGACTCTTACTGGGCCAGAAGATCACCTGGCAAGAGAAATGTACCAAAATGGCTACACTAAGGATTTTCAGAAAATACTTGGTTTATAAAACACCAAATAATTGTGCCAAACATCTGTTAGTGTACTTCCATACACTGTGCATTAGCTCATTGCAGCTCTGGGAATTGTGTTTATTTGTAACTCCTCATACAAAACCTTACTCTTTGTGAGTCCCTGATGGAATATTCCTTCTAAGCATAAATTATAAAAATATATCCTTTTTAACACTACAGGCAGCTGTCTGTAAAACTGAGTATTTTCTGTAAAAGAATTTGCAGGGCCAAAGACATTTCATAGTTGAACAATCAAGCCTAGATTCTATCTTTGTTGGATAGATATAAAATTGATCAACAGGAGCCCTGGCTGGTGTAGCTCAGTGGATTGAGCATGGGCCTGGGAAGCAAAGGGTCGCCAGTTCAATTCCCAGTCAGGATACATGTCTGGGTTACAGGCCAGGTCCCCAGTGGAGGGGCACACAAGAGGCAACCACACATTGATGTTCTCCCTCTCTTTTCCTTCCTGTCCCCTCTCTCTAAAAATAGAGATATCAATTAAAAAAAAAACATTGACCAACAGGTTTCCCCGAAAGATGTTAGAAATTTATTCCTAGCCTAAATATGTGGTGTCATTCATTCATTCACTCACTTGCCAAATATTCACTAACCACTTACTCTGACCAAGCACTGTTCCAGGCACTAGGTACACAGCAGTGAACAAAACAATGCTTAGATTCTTAAAGGGGAAACAATAAAAATAAAACAAAACAAAAATAAGAATGTATTAGTGTCATAAAAATATCAGTTTTGATAATCATGACCTTTGGAATTCATTCCTAAATAATTCAGAGTAGACTTTTATCATGGTGGCAAAGAGCTCAGACTCTGTGGTCAGAGGGCCTAAGTCTGAAACTCCGTGAAGAGCTCTGCCTTTGGCAAATTAACTCCTCGAGTTGCAATTTCACAACCTGGGAGAAACAGAACCCATCCCGCAAGGCTGATGTATATATTAAAAGAGAAAATGTGCAAGAAAACACTTAGTATACTGCAGAGTAAATAATAACTATCAAGTAATCCTATTAGTAGTAGTAGTAGTAGTAGTATTATATAGCATATGTAAGATAATCTAATTCTTTCATTGCATGAAGACAAAGTTAAACCCATATGAAAGTCTTGGGCTTCATATTTTTTAAAAAGGTAGTTTCTTTTCTTTTTTGGGGAAGCTACTGTAAGTCATTCACTCAGTCATGTAACAAATATTCATTGAGCATTTAATGCATGCCAGTTATTTTACTAAGTACTGGGAATACACCTATTTATAGGGCAAACATGGTCTCTGCTCTTTTGGAGTTTAAGTTGCCATATTATCATAAGTAGTGGGTATTGAGAGAGAAAACTGAAGATGTGCCTAAGTTTTCAACAAAAAACCGTCACTTTAAAGAAACCAATATTTACCAAGTCCTATTTTAGAAGACTTCTCTAGTGGTGTTTTGCTTTCAGAGAATGATCAATGAATAGCAAGGGCAAAATTAAGAACACCTGGAAGCAAAGTGGGAGAAAACCGAGGAGCCCATTACTGTCCTCGCAACCTTCTACTTCTGAAAATACTAGTCTTGGTTGAATCTAAGAAACTCCACAGCCTACAGAAATTCAAGGCACATAGTAGATACTTTATGAACAATTTTCAAACGAGCTAGAAAATATTCCAGATCTTCACTGCCACCATCCTAGTCCAGGATACAATCGTCTTTCTCACATTCAATAGTATTGAAAATCTCTTCTAACTGGCCTCTCAGCTTTTGCCCCACTAGTCTATTCTTCAAATAACCATCAGAGTTGTCTTTTCAAATGGAAGTTGGGTTATGATACTGACTAAATGGCTCCAAAGTGTCTCATCACGCTTAAGATCTAATACCCTCCCAAAGCTACCTAGAAAGTCCCAGGCATTCAGCCCCTGCCTACCTCCCAGACCTCTACACCGGCTGCTGTTCCGCACACGGTTCCAGCCTCTACTAGGACTTGTCAGGCCCGCCCTTTCCTGCCTCAGGGCCTCCCCAGTTCCCAGGGCCTGAAATCCCTTGCTGTGGCTCATCCTGGGCTGGCACCTTCTCATACTCTCGACCACCTAAGTTAAAGTAGCCTCCTCGCACAACTGCTATATCATATTTGCCTGTTTTTATTTTCTTCTTGGTCCATTATCATGATTTGAAAATATCTTGATGTTTTAAGTGTTGATTTACCTTTTGTAAGTGTTTCCACAAGGAACCTATAAGCATTGTCAGAACACTGTTCCTCGTTTCCTCCCAGTCAAAAATTATTGCTGAATTACTAACTGAATGAAAACCCTACCTGTTTCTAGTTCTCTTCAAACTGTGGAAATACACAAGCACCCAGGGATGAAAATGAGATCCCGACACAGTGTGTCCGCACCACCCCTCCGATAATCTGATCCCGGTCTCGGCTTTCCGCTAAGCCTAGCCTCGGCCCGGCCCTGCGGCGCTCCCAATAGTGCTGGGTTTCCGCTAGAGGGCAGGCTCGGAGGCTCCGGACCACCTCTGTCTCCCAGTCCGCTCCGCCCACCCGCCATTCACCTGATTCCTTCCCGGCTTCCACCAGGGGGCGCGCGTGCGAGTGCCGGGTCTCTGCCTTCCTCATCGACCTCTTCAGCACTTCCAGCACAGTTTCCGGAGAGAGGTCGACCAGTTTCTCCCACACCGACTCCGTGTAGAAGTCCACTGTATGTGCATTGGAAATGGGCAGGGCTTTTCTCAGGAACTGCAGCAGCCCCTGCAACGTGGCACGCAAGGTGGACAAGTCCGGAGTCACTGGGAGAGAGCTAGAATCCGCCATGACGCTCACCCTCCTGAGCTGTAGGTGGCGCAAATAAGTAGCGTAAGCCCGGTAAATAGAGCTCGGATCCACACTGGAGTTGGGCGATTGATTGCTTCGGCCTGGTGACGTGTTTTCATAGCGCCTGTGATGGTTTTCTGGCGACGCGGCTGATGTGCAATGGCGCCAGGGAGGCTTGCTGCGAGGTGGCGGAAGGGAAGTTTTGGGACGCAGGACGAAGGAGTATCTCCGGTCGGATTCAAGAGTAAGAACGTGAAACAGAGGACGTGGAGACCTAACCCTCGGCAGCCCTTCGTGGGGAGCGTTCGCGAGGGTATGTAAGAAGGCAGTCTTTGCAAGTTTTGAGGCTTGTGAAATCTTAAATCACGTGGCGTGCGGAAGTAGGGACATAGGTTTTAGGTACCAGATCCGGCCCTGCTTGGGGCAGAGGGAGTCATTCCTAAGTCAGCTGTGTCCGTGAGTGACCCAGCTCTGGGTGGGAGGACGAGGTAGTGTCGCTAACGCTTTATCTTTAAACATCTTTCCCGACTTACCCGGTTCTTGATCAGGGCTCTTCCTCTACAATTCTCCATGAAACGGTAAGCAGAGATTAAATAAAATCTCGTATAAACATTAAGTAAGTTCAGCTAGCTGTTTAGACAGTCATACACGATTTCCTGTCCTTACTTTTAAAAACAGGTCCTTTAGTAGTTCCTTTAAGGTAAAAACTATAGTTGTAATGTGTGGTTTTTTTCCTTTAAGTATTCATCGAAGACCTAGAATAAGTCTTGTAGATAATTTAGTGAATTGTTTTCATTTGTGAGTTCAATAAACTGGAGTTGTGCAACACCGTAATTATATTACCTTATTTGCGATTCTTTCTTGAAGTGACTACACCACCGTTTCCTGCTCTTTTTGCAGAGAACCAACGTACTATTCACTCCATTAGCTTAAACTTGTTTTCCTGCAGAAATCTCTCAAAGCAAAACAAAATCATTCTAGCGTCTGAATGTGATGGTGAAAAAGTTTTTCTGTTTAAAATTAACAGCTGCATTTTTCATGCAACTTATTTTCTGAAGAGGTACTTAATGACTGATATTCTTCAATGTAGGACAAGGCTTTGCATTTCAAAGAAAATTGAAGATTCAGCAAAATTACAAGAAATTGCTATGGAGGGAAAAGAAGGTTCAGACTTCCCAAGATTCCCAGTTCACAGATCGATATCCTGATCATCTGAAACATCTCTATTTAGCTGAAGAGAAAAGACTCAGGAAGCAACGTAGGAAAGTTAACCAGCCTTTGTCAAAACAAGGTAATCAGGCTTCGCCAGCAGAACAGTGTAACGTTGACCAGGCTTTACCCGAAGAACATGGTAGCATTGACCAGCTTCAACCAGAAGAACAATGCAAAGAAGAAAGGGTAAAGTATGTATTGTTTTGAAATCCTTTGTTTTAAATTCAAGTAATGTTTTATGAAAGAAATTGTAGGACAATTTATGTAGAAATTAGAATTATCACTTGAGGCATTTTAGAAACTAGAATAATTAGGTGAAGATTTTTTTCATGGAGGTTTTCTTTTTATCTTAAATGATTGAACTGGCTAGGTTAGCTTAATTGGAGAAGTAGTGTAATGGGAATGGAAATATCTGGATTTTAGATTTCAGCCTTTCAAGTACATTTAACTTACTTGAACTGTGGTTAATGCCTGTTGTTAACAAATGCTTTTTAAAAATAATTTTTGAGAAGTATAGTGTGGTGGTTAACACTGGACAGATGGACTCAAGAGATGGACTTAGCATATTGGTGCCCAGTGTCCTCTTCTCTAAAATGGAAAAGATAATAAATAATTCAGAGTTGCCATCTTGTACCTCATCAGGGGGAATCATTCACAGACTCTCTGGTGTCCCTGACCTATCATGACTAGATGAGTTGATTTTTTATAAGGTACTTTAAAAAGTATATGATCCGTGGGAAGTGCTACATGAGTGCTAGCTACTGCTGCTGCCACTGCTGTTATCAGTCCAGGTTATTTTCCCCCCAGAGGATGATGACTTAGTCTCAGTTAAAAAAGAAATGACATAACTCCCTAACACTTTGTTTTTATAAGTGCTGCCTTTAAAGTTTTCTGTGTGTATATCCCATGGTAAAAAATAAATAATTAATTTAAAACATGTTGAAATCCAAACTTGCAGAAAAGCCAGGTGTTACTTAGGACCGTAACTTTTTAAAAATTTTTATTTATTTTCAAGGAAGAGAGGAAAGAGGGGAGAAAGACAGGCATTGATTTGTTGTTCCACTTATTTATGCATTCATTGCTCGCTGCTTGATGTGCCCTGACTGGAGATCAAACTCACAACCTTGGCCTGCTGGTATTACACTTTAACCAACTGAACTACCTAGCCAGGGTGGGACCATAACCTTTTACTTCACTAAAATTCTGTCCCTTAAAATTGTGAACTATTTGTGCTAAACATAATAGGAACTGGGACCCCAGGGGAAAAAAAGACAGACACACTAAAAACTCAGTTTTTCAGTAGCTTTGTCCACCTTATTATTGAGTAGTGGGTGTAAAGCTCAGGCAGAAACTTGAGCACTAGAAATGTAGGAATGAATCATTTCCAGTGTTAATTGAAGTGAGGAGGGTTTAATCATGACACAAGATTCTGATCTTAGGTAAAAATAATATTTTTTAAAATGTATTTCAAAGTGAAAGTGGAGAGAAGTTGTCATTAGAGTTCAATAGAACTGTCTTAAATAGAAAAAAGAGGGAAATACAGTGACAGCTTTGTCACTATAGAATTGCCCAAGGTAGGGGATTAGTCAGTAATACTTCAAAGTCCAAGAAAAACAAGACTGAGAACAGGTCTTTGTATTTGTGGTCCTGGCAGTCCTTAGTGAGCTTGGACAGAAAATTTTCAATAACCCTGATGAAGTTTTTACCCTTACATGTACCATCACCCAAAGCCACGGTCATGGATATGACTGACTAAGAAGAATGTGGAGACCAAACAACAGTTGGGGGAAAACCTCCAGTTAAAAGAGAAAGAGGCTCCAGCATGGCACACTGAGAAGGGGCAGTTAAGATAGGAACAGAATGTCACCAGAAGGAAGGGAATAGAATTTTCAAAAGTAGTGAATGGGTCAGTTGAGACTGGAAAGTGCCTGTTGAGTTGATCATCATATTTGGCTGGAAGGTCATCACTGTTTTGGCACGGGTGGTTTGATTGCAGTGTGAGAGCAGAAGTCAGGTTGCAAAGTTAAGAAGTGAATGTAAAGTGACTATTGTCTATTCGCTGTTCTTTCTGGACACTTGACTATGAATTGATAGGGAATGGGACATTATTAGAGAGGATCAGAGGTTGGTGATGGGTAATTTACGTATTTGTTTGCTTTAAGAAGGTTACTGCTGAAATATTTTATACTCCGTTACAGAGTTGGTGTAGTGAAAAGTTGAGAGACAGGAAAAATGAAGATTATTAATGAATCAGGTAGCCTGAGGAAGTGGAGTCCGGGCCTAAGTGGTTGACTTAGTAGCAGCAGATGGTGATGCCGACACCAGCCCGCAGTGTCCGAGGCACTGTGGATGAGACAGACAAATTCACATGGACCACTGAAGTCCTGTGGAGGAAAAGGCACAGCACAGCCACTGTCTCTAGAGGAGAGCGCCTTGACGGGCTTTTATTGGCTTTCTGATAGCATACATCAAAGAAGGTTTTCATTCATTATGCTCAGGTTTGCTTTAGGTAATTACTTTTTACAGATAGCAATGAAGGGGATGTTACTGATTACTTCTTACAGATTAACAAGGAAAAAATATTTCCCAGCAAATGCAAGGGAATGATAAGGTAATTGGTCTGGTTACACGTCAGTCCTTGGGAGAATTTGCACAGACTTCAGGAAGTTACTTTAATGCAGTAAGCTTTTGCTGCCTCAACTCAGAGTGAGGGAGTTTAAACAAGAGCAAGTCACAAAGCAGCCTAGGTATAATGCAGGCCTGATTTCCCACGGAAGAACCGATCCATGGGTTTGGCTCCTGTGTGCCACCACCTGCCTATGGGCTTTCCCACAGGGCTGAGCTACAGATTGCCATTGCCAGGCAGATCGGTTCCCTACAGGGCAGGACACCGTCAGAGGAGTGAGAAGTACTTCAAGATAGAACGGTTCTAAGTGGAAGCGTGGTCACTTATACTAAGTACGTGAAGTGGAGTAGAGATGAAGTAATCAAAGAACTTTGGATTTAAAATTCATATACACCCACAATTCCCATTATGTCCATCAATTTAATGCCTTCTTTAGGCTGTCATTCCTGCCATTCATATGCTGGTTTTCTGTTGTTTGCTTTTGTTTAAATTTTTTTTTTTAACATTCTAGGATCTTTTAGATCTTTTGTATTTTCCCTGGTAAAATTTCTCCAAGAGTCTTCACTTACCACCTTGTAATCTATCTTAAAAGCTGTAACTACACTTTTAATAATGTTATGTATGTATTTCGTTAATAAAATTAGTGTCCTCTTTCCCCTTCTCTCTTCCTCTCTATTAATTTGCATTAGTTAAATTTTACTACACAAGTGCTATAGTTGACACTTGTCATAATTCTAGTTATATTGTTTTGAATCATTGTGACTTATTTCTTTATCTCATAAAGCTTTGTTGCGATTCCAAAGAAAAATAAAAAGAAAACATCAAATCGAAAAGCACAAGAAGAATACGAACAAATACAAGCTAAGCGTGATGCTAAGAGACAAGTAAGATCTTTAAAAATATTTAGATTCATTTTTCCTATTTATGCAAAATGTATATAGAAACTGTGTTTCTGAGTGTGGGTCACATAGTATGCCCCTGTAAATATTTGTTTGGAAATGAATGACATGAGCATAATTGGAGAATTTCAACATATTCCAGTTCCTCGATTACATTATCCTAGAGGAGTGGTCAAAAATAGGATTTTAAAGATGTTGTTCATAGGTTAATCATTTGAGCTTCTGGGATAATGTTTACTAAGGGTTTGTTCCAGGAACTTGCACTTTTAACAAGAAACTCAAGAAATTCTCATATATAATAAAACTTGAGAACCACTGACATGAGAAAAGTACAGGCGATTTTCATAATTTTACATTGAAGCAAGTAAAAGCCAGACAGGAGATGAATAAAAATTTTTTTTACTATACAGAGTTGGTCTTACCAATTAAAAAGCCTACTAGATTAACTTAGCAAAAAGTTACTACTCTCTGTAATCATTAAGAAACCCCTAATTAAAATAGACTTTTCAAGTGAGGAAAACAAAATTATCTACAACTTCAACAAAATTATCATTATCTATCACTTTAAATTCCCCAAAGATGACACTGATATGTAAATTTTTTAAATGTTTTAGCTTTAGAATTTGCGTAATTAAGAAAACTGCACCCAGTCTGGGCACATGCCTGAGTTGCAGGCCAGTTCCCAGCAGGGGATGCACCAGAGGCAACCATACATTGATATTTCTCTCCCTCTTTCCTTCCCTTCCCTTCCCTCTAAAGATAAATAAATAAAATCTTTTTTAGAATACCTGGAAATTTCTGGAAGTTTCACATCTAAAATTTTTGTGATTATTCTTAAACTGGCGGCAGGCTAAGATGAAGCAGAAACATTTCTCTGTTGAAATAGTGGACCTTTGTTTCATAGCTTATTACTTTCTCCTTTTTTCAACCGACCATCTGATTCCTGCCACCGTTGGAAATAGTGTACCAGGTGGAGTACAGTAAGGACCACTGTACTGGAAAATATGTAATGCCCTCAGGTGTCCTTTATATAGATAAATATTAGGGCTTCGTAATTATGAAAATTGACAGTCTCTTAGATTTCAAATGTTAATAGCCAGCATGAGGAATCAAAATTAAGAACATTAATTAAATAAGGACCCATAATTGATGGTAAGATAATTTACTTTTTTTTGGTTTGTTTTACTTTGTGTAGTGAAACTCCATAGGGATAAACTGCACTCCAAATACCTAAATTCACAGATAAGTTCTAAATCTTTGTGTGCTTATTAAAATAAAATGAGTTGCCATACCACATGAGAACATAAGTTTAAGCGGTAATGGTGTAGCATGATAGAGAATTGCTCAGACTTTGAATTCACAATTTCTGGATACGAGACATGCCTGTACCAGTTATTTAGGTTCTTGGTCACATCACTTTCCATATCATTGAGCATCACCTCCGTGTCTGTAAGATGAAGATAAAAAGCTAGCATAGGAGTTTTAAAACCTAAAATGTACTATGATGTACATGACAGTACTTGCTTAATTAATAAGTCACCATACAAATTTAAGGCTGTGTGATTTGGGGGCTATATGCATTACAGGGAAAATTGAAAAATGGTGCACATAATACAGTATTTAAAAACTTTTACTTGACTTTATATTCAATTTAGTAAAAATATTCCCATGCATTTCAAGTAGTGCTTCTTGAGTCTGTACACTATATAACTTTGAAATATATTTCCTTAAACTCAAATGAACTTGAGTCTTTGTCTCAGCAAATGAAATGAGCATGGCAATTCTTAAATGGTTAAAAATCATAGTGCCTAGCACAGTGTTTTGCACATATATGGTATGTAGCCAAAAGTTTTTCCTTAATGAAATCTCACATGGCAAAGTAAAAAGAATAACAAATATTCTGGAAATGAAGATTTTAGTCTTAAATGGACTAGAAAAACTCTAAAGTCCCTTTTAATTCTTCATTGGGTCTAGTTAAATGATGAAATCATTCATGAAAATGTCTTCACTCTTCTGTGCTCTGATTTCATTTGCATACAGTAATTAAAATTGTTTAATACCTTTATGTTATAGCATGTATTACAGTGAAAATGCAAAAGTATACTACTTTTAATAATGGATAACAATATTTTGAAAATAAAAGGGGCAAACCTAAAGCGCTTACATGGTGATACCTATTTCATTGCAATTTCTGGACTATAGCCACTGTTTGTTACTAAAGAAAATTATGTATGTTAATAATTTCAGGAGTTTGAGAGGAGAAAGCAAGAGAGAGAAGAAGCTCAAAGGTGCTACAAAAAGAAGAAAATGGAAGTGTTTAAAATATTGAGCAAGAAAACTAAAAAGGGCCAACCAAACTTAAATTTACAGATGGAGTATCTTCTTAAAAAAATACAAGAACACAGTTAAATTGGACGTTGTGTTCTCAAAATCAAGGGTTAAAAGATCTGCTGTCTGTCAAGTTCCTTTGTATATGTAATGTACTTTCTAATAATTCACTAAATTTGTCAATGTAAACTGGATTGCTGTGCTATGATAGATATAAAGTATCCAAATATGTTTGTTCATATAAAGGAAAATTTCATATATGTGCTCTATGTAATATGATTTGTTATTTATTTGGCCATGAAGGAGAGGTGGCCTGAATAACTGAAAGAGCCTTCTATTTGGGTTACAGGTTCGAGTTGAGTCCTTTCATGCCCCATAAAATTCAGATGAAATAAATAAAATGTTTGAAAATAAGGGAACAAAGCTTTTGATGGAGCACCACCATGAAGTTTTCAGTTTAGTAATCAACTGTTAGCAGTTTTGACATTCATTTTAATAATAGAGGGAAAGACTCTCCTTGGACTTACTCGTTTATTTATTTTAAAATTAAACGCACATTACAGGGGCATGGACTTTTTGAAACTTGAGAGCACTGTGCCTGAGTGCTGAAACCGCCTACCACCACCTCCATTTAACAGTGGGGTCTTCTTCCTAAAGCAGAGTTTGGGGTAAAAACTCAGCCTAGTGTTTATAAACATCTGAAAGTGGGCGCACATAGTTTGTTAGTGTCAGATACTGAGAGCCCAGCAGTGTCACAGCAAGAATTAAGCTTTCCAGACCCCATCACCATGTAAGATCACTGTCTCCAGAGCACTCCTGTCGTTCTCTCTGGTGGTGCCCCGGTAAGCCTAGATAAAGTGCTAAAGTGCTGTTCCTGCCACCTTGCAATCTGCAAAATGACAAAGACTTGTCATCATTTTAGACAGTTGACTGTACAATGATACTTGTAAAACATTGCATAATAAAGTTTTTAAGATATTAGATGCAGCCTGAAACTGCATTAAGGTTTTAGGGAGTCTTTGCATTCTGCTGCTCACTCTGCATTTAAAAGTGTAAGAGGAGATGCTAAGGAAGCAACTTACTAAAGAAAGGTGATTCTTTATTGCCTGGAAAAACAATGCTTGGAAATTTATAATAGGTGATACTACATTTAAAATAACCAACTCAGGAACTCTACATTTGGCTACTCCAAATGCACCCTGCTGTGTCACAACTGTGTGTCTTTGCTTCTGCTGCTCCCACCACCTGGAACACCGCCTTCTCCTCCAGTGTCCCGCCCACTCTCAGTGGCCAAATTCCTACTCACTCTTCAAAACTCAACTCAGTCATCCCTTCCTCCAGGGAGCTCTGCCGGTCTGGACATCCCTAACCGAAGGTTCATCCCCACTGATCTCACACACCCCGTCCTTATTTCTCTTCTTCCTGCCTATATTTCAACTAAAATTTCAGTTACTGTGTCTCTCTTCCCTTCGAGACAGTAAGCTGGGTGGGAATAGTGACTGCATGTTAGTCATGGTGGCATTCCTAACAGTGATCAGAAAAACCCTGACACAGAAGAGGCTTGTATTTCTTGTCCTGTGCACTGACCCCTTCACTTTGCCTCACTCCAGACCTCTTTCTTGAGAAGAAACTGCATGCCCTTGGGCACACCTGCCATGAAATGTTCTCTTCTTTAGAGTGGACTGTGGGGGGCTGCTCAGCAAATGGGGTTTTGTCATCTATACACTCTATTGTCTGTATCAGGAGTTCTGAAACTCTTTAGTCTCAGAAACCCTTTCTAATCTTACCAGTCATTGAGGACACCAAAAGGCTTTTGTTTATGTGAGTTACACCTATTAGTAGTTACTAAATTATGATTAAAAGTATGAAATTAGAAAACTAGAAAGTCCCTTAAAGATAACAAGCCCATTACATGCTAATGCCAATATTTTTGAAACAAAAAAACAGTAAGTGGCGTTATTTTGTATCAGGGTTTCTTGGCCTTGGCACTATTGAAAGCTCGGACCAGGTAATTCTTTGTTGTGGGCCGTGCTGTGCATTGCAGGGTGTTCGGCAGCATCTCTGGCCTCTCCCCACCAGGTGCTGCTAGCACTCCCTCCTCCCAGGTAGGACGGCCCAGAAATTCCTCATGTCACCTGGGGGGTGGACGAGGACAACATCACCCTGGGGAGAGTGTTTTGTACTTCTGCAAGGCTTTTCAATGTCTTAATAGGAGACGGCTCAATTTTTATTTCTGTTATCACATTCTGTCTGGTGCAATGTGTTGTTTTGACTGAAGTATATGAAGAATTACAGCCATACACAGCTATGTGGTTTTAAAAGGAGAAAATATTTTACTAAGCTTTTAAAAATAGTTGTGCATAGTCATCTTTAATACTATAGTGAAACTCCACAAAAAAGTGGATTCTTAAAGGTTAGTCGTAATGTGGAATGTGAAACCTATTAATGACCTTTTCCTGTTCTGTGACATTAGATTGTATCAGTTTATCTTCAACTTTGAAGGGATCATTTCCCCTTTTGTAGCATCATATACATTCCTTACTTGGGAAGTGTTTATGGAGCTCTTTTCCATGTTGACACATCTGTTTATACAATATAATAGAAAATACGTTTGTTACTATTCATTTTATGAAAGAAAAATTAAGTGGTGGAAAGCTATCAAGGTCTCAAAGGCAGATGCAAATTTTCCAAAATTCAAATTTCCTCTTGAAGCTCAAATTTTGTCACTGGCAAAAATTACTGTTATTTGTATTCGTTGAAGTGACTGGCTCACTTCTTTTTGATACCAGATACCAACCTCTACATGCTCATAGACCATGAATCCTTCTTTCAAGTAAGAATAGTGCCCTGTGTAAGAAGTGGCCAGTGCCGTCTGCTGCTCACACGCCCGCACAAGTGCTTTTCCTCCAGATCACCACTTTGGTGTGCAACCGAAGGGCTTTAAAATGTGTGCTTCCCTGTCTGTTACCGAGAATCTTCCAAAGAGTGTCCTCAGGAGTTAAGATTTAAGAAAATTAATGTTTACTGCTTCATCGAGGACAGTCCTAAGTGAAAGTGGCTTTTTCCTTCTGCAAGCGCCCGCGTGGGGAGCATTGGTGGCCAGCCCTGCCTGGCATGGAGCTCAGGCACAGCCGTTTACCCGCCTTACACCCACCCGAGTCAACGTTAGTGTCAACACAGTGACAAAGGCGAATAACATGTTAGCATTGCTCTCACTGACCCCCACAGGGCTTTGGGACTAGGTGACATTGCTGGTCATGTTTTACTTTCATCATGAAACTAAACTGTGGCAAGCATCAGTCTTGAGAAAAACAGCAGCACCATGTATGTGATGAGCTCATGAACTGTCAAGGGAACTGGTGGAGTCCAAGTTTCAGGCTGGAAGGGCCCTTGGAGACAGTCTACCCCTTTGGTGCAGAGATGGGCATGTGTAGGCCCAGCAAGGGGAAGGAAACTCACCCACCAGCCTCATAGCCAGCGGTGCAGAACCAAACCTGGAACCCAGGTCTTCTGATTCCCAGTGCAGTGCTGTTTCTCCCAAGCCCCACTGTTCTCGGGCACTCTGTATGGTGTGTGACACACGTCCACCTGCAAAAAGATCTTGTACCCAGAGTGAACAAGGCTTTCCCATTGTCGCCATATGCATTGTTGGTTTATGCTAGTTTTGTCCTGCCAACATTCAGGGGGTGGCATATTTTCTCAAGCCGCTTGACCTGTATTTACTCTAATTGGCTCCCAGGGGTGTGGAGGTGCTTAGGTAAGCCTTTGGACTCTAACAGTTAGACCTCCAGTGGAACTGGTTAACCAAGAGGACCCTGTGGATTTTCCCACTCAATCAGGCTATACCACAATTTATGATTCCTTAAGAACTCCCCCTTTCCACCTGCATCTTGGCTCACTTAAAAGAAAGGCGTGGCACAGCCTCTGTCCCGAGTCCATATTCCCTGCATGGTTGCCCCATCTTCTTCCTCTGTTAGGTCCTCGCCTTTGAACTCACACCACTCTACTTGTGGGACACGGTGTAGGGCCACAAATCCTGTCACCACGAACTTGTCAACAGTGAGACACAACTTCTCTCCCATTTAGAAGAGTCCCTCCTACTGCCAGACGAGGTCTGACCCGGAGGGCAGCCACGCTAGGAGTGAGCAAAGTGGCACTTTTGCCAAGTTCTCGGGATTTGCCCCAGTCTCAACTTTGGTAGAGGTGGGCAGGCCACCCAGATTTCAGGTAACCTCAGGACATCGGTCTGTTCGCTCCCTGCTCTGCACAGTAAGGACAGGTTCTAGTCAGTCCTAACTCAGCTACTTGAGAAGCCCAGTCCGACAGCGTTAGAAATGACCCAACATCTTTCAGCAGTCTCCTGAACATCCTCCAAGTCCTTAGTGTTGATTAGGGCTCCACTACTTGCAGACTGGCCAGTGTCAAGTCCCACCTCCTCAGAGGAAACTTTCCTCACCTCCCTGACCCACAGGGGGCGGCATCTCCCCCCTCCTCTTATCTCTAGACACCAACATTCTATACCGTCATTTGTAACTGCACACACATTCTGACCTCCTGGCTCCTGTGGGTTCAAATCATACCCCGTCTCCTCTGGGCACTGCTCTTGAGATAAACACGTCTCCGCCCATTACTGCCTGGAGTCTGAAGAGGGGTTCAGGGCCACCTCTTCCCACCTGAAACCTCCAAGTCGCCTCTGTCCTGGCAGCAGTAAGCTGTGTGCACAGTGAAGCCAACTGCCCTGCCATTTCTCTTTCCCCTTAAGGCCAGACCCTTAGCTTTGGCTGCATTGTCTCCAAGTGGCAGGAAGGCCTGCAACCAGGCCCTCAGCTGGCTCTTTGCCTTGCTCCCTGGCTGGACGCTTACCTCAAAGAAGGGTTGCATTGGAAGGGGTTTGCAGAGGGCTGCCTGCCCAACCGTGGGCATATTCTGGCTTGCAGGTGAGGCCACATGCTTCTCCCAACCTCAAGGTTGCTACAGCAACGTCCCAACCCTTGATGACCTCCCCTTTCTGTAGGTACAGAAAGTGAACAGGTCCTTCCTCCTTGGCAGGGAACTGACTGGGCCCTGTGGCCCCAGGGTACAAAGCCCGAGGGGAAGCTGGACACTCTTTAGAAATGGGACCAGGAAGGTGGAAACATGTGGCTGCAGTCAGTGCTGTCACCTCAGACCCCTAAACACCAAACCAGAACCAAACCGCTCAACTCTGGAACAAGGAAGTTCAAGAGACAAGGCAGCCCCTTCTGAAGAGGAAGTGAGGT